TGTCTGAATTTCAGCATAATTTAAAGTCCTAATATTTATTTGTGATCATTATGCTAATGATTTTGACAGCGTGTTTAGTAAAGGGAGCTTAGACCTGACTCGTGTAGCGTCTTCAGAACCACTTCAGCAGAGAAACACTAATTTGTGGACAGCAGGATATAGTTGATAATGCTGTTGGAGTTGGCTGGATTTTGGAACAGAAAAAAATCAGCAAAGCAATTCGGAAAGCAATGACTGTCCTGTCAAGCAAAAATGGCTGCAATTGCCCGCCCTAATGATGAGACAATATCAACCATTTTGGAATGCCATTTCTGAGTTGCCAAAACTAGAATATTATATATCTGGATTTAAAAAGAAAAAGGAAATGAGAGAACTTATTTTTCTAATACTTGATTGCAATATGTTTCCTTTTGTTGGTATTAATAAAAAATGGGGAGGACTCATTTCAAGTTAAAAATAGAAGATTTGTCCAAAAAGGAAAGAATAAAAAACTCCTGACAAGACCAAAACTTTCCCACATACATTCTGCTGTGGATGTAGCAGGCCCTGCAAAACTCAGTCAGGCAGGGCAAAACCAATAGAAAGAAAGGCATTTGAAAATGCTCTTTTAGGTAGGTAATTGTGCCCACATTCCTGGAGTTTGACAGCCATAGCATAGGGTCCGCTCTGCCCTCATTAGCATACCATTGCATATAAAGTTCTACCTGGGATATTATTAGATTTATTTATAAAGCGCCAACAAGTAGATAGTTGCAACAAGGCAAGTTAGATGTACAGCAACCGAAGGTGGTGAGAAATCTGCTCAATCAAGCTTTATTTATAAGGAGAGTGGGAATAATTGTGCAAAAAGTAATGTAACATTTATTTTATACATAGAAGAAGTTGGTTGCTAGGAGAGTCTACAGTAAAATGATAGGTTAATTGCTGGATGATGTAGTTGGAGGAAAGTGAATGAAGCTTATTACTGAGGTGTGGAGAGAGAGAGCGATATATAAGTGATATACAGAGATAGTTATTCGGTACTTGCGTTAACAGTAAATGCTAAGCTGATGATTTAATTTAAACTAAACTTTATATTTCATAATGTCTAACTTGTACTTTATGTAAATTCTAATATTAAATTATAATTGAATAATAAAAAGGGGTTGGGCCCAATATATTTTAACACTTGAGAGTCTTTAACTGAATCCAATTAATGTCAGGTAATTAATCCCATAGCCTACAGACACAAGTAAAATTTGACTCGACTCTAAATTGAGCCAATTCATGCAAAATATTTCACAAAATATTTCACAAAATTCTGAAATGTAATCTTACTCTTGCTCTTCATTATCAAATACAAAGAAGCTTAATTTACTGTCTGTGTTGCTAGTGGATACATAGGTTTATAAAGAATAGTAAAATAATTTGCCACTTTCAGACTGGATAGCCACCAGAATAAGACAAGCAAGGGAGACATTATATTAACATATGAATACTGCATTTAGAATTCAGATATATCATTATTTTTTTTGTCCACGATACAGGAAATGTAATGTGATTGCTTCAGTTCATGTTTAACCCCTTAAGGACCAAACTTCTGGAATAAAAGGGAATCATAACATGTCACACATGTCGTGTGTCCTTAAGGGGTTAAAGAAACAAAGCCGATTATTTTACAATGTATACTATTTTAAAAGCCAATAATTTGGTGGAACTGTTGAGTATGTTTTTTCTCTGAGAAGAAATCCGTAAATGCTTGCTTTCAAAGGTAACAAGAAATTTCATACTTGGTATGGAAAGCATTAATAAAAATATTGTCGCAATACAACAGCAAGAAAACATCTCTTACAAATAAACGTCTCAGCTCAAACTAGGACTTATTGATCTAAATGCATCATTAAAACAAAACATTATATTCAACCTTTCCATTTTACTATGAACCACACTATAATGTTGAACTATAGCAGAGAAACGCATGAGGATAAAACAAGGTGCCTAGAATTCACTAATAAAAGTATTTCATTAAGTGTCTTCATTATGACCTTCAACTCAATTGAGCTACAAGAAGCTATTGCTGTAGCTAATATGTGACATGTTGAATTTTGACAGTTTCGGTTTACTAATCATTATTGGTATTCTTAGAAATCTTGAGTTTTTGTCATCCCATCCCAGCTCACCATTTAGTGCGTAAATCCGTAAACCATGTTTAATAAGAAATGAGAAATCATTTTGAAGGCAAATCAATTGAGAAAGTCAGGGCCGGACTGGGGATACAAAGCAACCCTAGAAAAAAAATCTATGCCAGCCCCATAAGTCATTGCGCCATTTATTGTCACATGTAATATGTAAGGCAGCACAGATGTTCGAGTTATATATAAACACACACACACATATATATATATATATATATATATATATATATATTAGCATTAGGCTGCTAGAGTAGGACCTGCCAAGAATGGGGTACGTTGACGTTGTGGAAGGCTTATGCAATATATGATCACATAATGTAACTAAACCCCCATTATTTTTTGCCTAGGTGAGGAGTTTTGAAATAAAACTATTACAATGTGTAAGATTTGAAATCATTGTTTAGGGAATAAGTGAGTGCACTGGATTATGTATTTTGTATGATATATATATATATATATATATTTATTTCAGAGTAAAACATTTAAATTTACAGTAAGCTGTCAGGGTATTTATATCGGCAGACATCTTGTGCTATGATAGAAACTAAAAGTGTATATTCTGAGTCACTCTGAACAGACCAGACTCCATTTTGTTATTTCAAGTTAACAGAAAGACACTATATTTCTATCTGTAAGCTAACCACTTTCCCAGAGCTCAGGAATGCATAGTATATACAAGCCAAGTGATAAGGAAGGGGGTTGGACAGACTGTCTAATGCTAAAAGAATATAATCAAATCTAAACCCAGACAATTGTGACAGAGAAGATTAAATAATTTAATTTTACTGTCTATACATATAAGGTACCATTGTATGGAAAAGGGTAAACTTAGTTCATGATCTGTCATATCAGAAATTATGGCAGGAATTGCAGACGCTAAGTCTGGACAAAATTTAAGAAACCCTTTGAAATTTTAAATTATGGCGCTATAAAGATAACGCAAAATGACGTCAAAATAGCCACCAGGAAAAGTTAACTCTTTCCTGGATAGGTATGTTTAGTGGGACAAGACTGCCCTCTACAGACCAAATAACTAATTTGCGATCTGGAAGATAACCACACCTCTAGTGCTTCTATTGGGTTATCAACTGATGACGTACAGAGAGTCTGGCCCTTTAAAAGTTAGGACAAAGGGAAGATAGAGGATACAAGAAAGATACGAGAGGAGGCAGATGCAAGATATGCAACGGAGAGGAGAGAGGAATTGGAAGTTTGGGGATTCCAACTCGGACAACATCTGAGAATAACACTCTACTCCTAAAACTCTAACACTTAGAATTTACTGACTTTCTAACCAACACCTCCATGCAGAGAGACTACCAATCGGATGAAATATCTACTCAACTGGTAATTATACTGGTTTCATTTAATTAAATTAAATTAATTAAAATGTATTAATAGCATTATATATGACTGGATAAAGCACGGTCAGATTTCCATATTAAGAAATCTTAGTTAACTAAGAATATATAGTTATAAACATTCCATTCTGCAGGTGGAATTAAGAATAATTATATATTGATGTGATATTATCACGTGTTAGCATACCGCTGTTTTTATCCAGGTGTATTGATTTGCTCTAAATTAAGATAGATATCTTTTAGACAAATTAAAAATCTGCTTATATAATGTGGTAAATTCTCTTATGGATGGTTTAAGAAAATGACTAGTGAACTGGTTTAAATGTTATTTTATTTAAAAATACATAAGAATAGATCTTAACTACCTAGGAGATCTAGCCAGCATTGAAAGGGTTATTCTAACTGTCTGCTAAACTTTACGACCTTACGCTGCACTCTGAGGAATTCTGTTCTCTGTGTGAAAAGTTTTACTTTCAGTCTGTGTTAGAGATGGTAATAAATAAGTCTTGACAGATAATGCTGTTTTAGCCATTGAAACGTAATACCCATTCCTCTGTATTGCATACCATTTTATACTGGATATTCATTGATTATTGTTATGCATGTTACATATAATATTATTATTATTAATTTGTCATTATAAATAAAAATCTATTTTTATACATTGTGATATTATTATATGAAATACATTCCACTTAACACGATAAACGTTCTTTGGGATCTGAGAATTGAAATAGTGGGCAATTCTCAACTGTTACTATTATTATCCCATAAATATCCCCACAAAGCATACTCACATGCAAACACAGACAATATCACTGACACACACAAGCTCATTGATACACAGCCTCATAGACAAACAATCTCACTGATATACATAAACTCATTGACATAAAAATAGAACAAAGTATAAGTGGAGCTCCGGTTTACCTGTACAAACAGTAGTATTATATGGGTAGACAAAAATGCTATTACAATAATCTGCAAATAATAAACAATTAAATCTTAGTGCAGACAGTATTTACAAACTTAAAATAGATGAAAATAAATTGTAGATGGGTAACTTACAAGAGTAGAGCCAATAACACACTTGGCTCTAATGGTAAGCGCCTCAGGATCTTCTAAGGGAGATCCACCACCCTCTTTTTGTTTCCTCCTGATGTCCTCCACCTTGAACCTATTAGGTAGGAATGGAAAGGGAAACTCCAAAGAAGGTGTATACAAAATGTATTGAGTTAAAAATGATCAATATAAAATTAAAGATTAAAAATTAATTAATAAAATAACATAAAATGAATCCAAAACGCGTTTCGCCAGTAGCTGGCTTCCTCAGTTGGTATAATAATCACTGCGTCCTCTTGTTCTTTTATGTGCTCCTAATAGTGTAATTGCCGGCATCTGCCGAACCGGAAATTCGCTCTGTGGAACGCACACAGGGCTTGTTGGAACGCACGTACATACGTGCGTGCGTAAGTCATGTGATTCGGCTGCTTCACTTCCTTATTCTTCGTGGAACGCAACACGTGCGCTCCACTACCTTGAATCATGAAATCCGGCTTCACTTCCTTATTCTTCGTGGGACGCAACGCATGCGTTCCGCTACCGGAATATATATAGTCCGTCACAAAGTCTTTAAATAAACCGTCCATTATGTCATTGACATAAAAACACAAGCTCACAATGCACACACATAGGCTCACTGACAGACAATCTCACTGACACACTCAGACAAGCTTATTGGTATACAAACAAACGTAGTACAGACAAACTCTGACACGCACAAGCTTACTACAGACAAGCTCACTTACACACACACGCACACACACACACACACACACACACATCCTCACTACAGTAAAGCTCACTGATACACACATGCTTCCTACAGACAAACTCACTGACACACACAAGCTCACTATAGACAAGCTCACTTTCACACAAATGCTCACTACAGAGAAGCTTGTTGACACAAGCATGCTCCCTACAGAAAAGATCACTGGCACAAACATGCTCACTAAAGAAAAGCTCATTGACACACACATGTTCCCTACAGAAAATCTTACTGACACACACATGCTCACTACAGTGAAGCTCACTGACAAACACATGCTCACCACAAACAAACTCACGGACACACACATGCTCACCACAGACAAGCTCACTGACACACACATAATCCCTACAGAAAAGCTCACTGATACACACACATGCTTCCAACAGACAAGCTCACTGACACACACATGCTCACTACAAACAAGCTCATCGACACACACATGCTCACCACAGACAAGCTCACTGACACACACAAACAAGCTTACCCACTAGCAGCCACACACACAAGGTCACTCACTAGCAGGCACACCCACACCCACAAGCTCACTCTAGAAGGCACACACAAATAATAAAAGGACGTCCAGCATCCGTTACCGGATCAAAAGTCCATTAGGATCCAGGATTCTCTGAAACTGCAATGTTTTACAATGCAGCACTAAGTGCAAAAGGGACACTACACCCACACCACTTTAATGAGCTAAAGTGGTCTGGGTGGCTGTAATTTCCCTTTGATTAGTTATTTTGACTGTTTTGAGAATTTATTTTAAAATTGACATCTAATTCTGTATCTGCTGAATACTGCCTCATTAAATATTGAACTATTTCTATCAAACGTTAATAAATGCCCAGATTGCCCAATAGTCTCCATCTCTGTTAACTCTTCCTACTATGTCCCAATAACTTCCAGGTGTGTTTGTCACCTACTTGGACATCATCAGAGCTATTTGCTAAAGAAATACTTTTAAGTGAATTTAAAATTTAAGGTCAAAATATTTGAATTGGAAAAATTAACCTGGCATGCGGACGAAATTTATGTAAATTGTGCAAGGAGACTTACAGGTATCCCTCTGGCCGGGCAGCCTAATTACAGCTGCACCAGCCCTTACCTCTTCCCTCTTTACTTCCCTCGCACTGACATAGGCTGGCACAGTCCGAGGGGAAATCACTTAAACTACAGGAGCCTGATGATTTGGGCTGTCCCCAGGTGCTGCAGCCCACCGGTATCCTGGTGTGCCAGTCCGGCCTTGATTAAAGGGATACTGTAAGTGCCAGGAATACAAATCTGTATTCCAGGAACTATCTCTCATTCCCTCTGCCACCCCCCACCCCCACTCTTGCCCACCCACAGGGTAAAAAAGGGTAAAAACCTTTATCTACATACCTTATCCTAGCACAAATGTACCTCGGCTCTGGGTTGTGGCTTTGCCTCCTCCGACGTCACTCAATGAGGGGATGCTAATGCGCATGCACATGTACATTAGGCACTCCCCATAAGAAAGCATTGAATCAATGTTTTTCTATGAGGAAATAATAAAAGGACGTCCAGCATCCGTTACCGGATCAAAAGTCCATTAGGATCCAGGATTCTCTGAAACTGCAATGTTTTACAATGCAGCACTAAGTGCAAAAGCGACACTACACCCACTCCACTTTAATGAGCTAAAGTGGTCTGGGTGGCTGTAATTTCCCTTTAATTAGTTATTTTGACTGTTTAGAGAATTTATTTTAAAATTGACATCTAATTCTGTATCTGCTGAATACTGCCTCCTTAAATATTGAACTATTTCTATCAAACGTTAATAAATGCCCAGATTGCCCAATAGTCTCCATCTCTGTTAACTCTTCCTACTATGTCCCAATACCTTCCAGGTGTGTTTGTCACCTGTCTGGACATCATCAGAGCTATTTGAAAAGAAAGACTTTTAAGTGAATTTAAAATTTAAGGTCAAAATATCTGAATTGGAAAAATTAACCTGGCTTTAAATTTGAAAGTCACTTTATATTCTCACTTTAGTAAATGTCTATCTCTCCTATCAAGTATACTATTACATTCCTTCTAACATGTGGCTGTATGTGTCGTTACCTCACATGTCTCTAGCATTTCTATGTGTCTCCCCAGCTGGGATTCTAAGTGTTGAAGTCCATGATATGCGTTTTACGAAAACGGTATAAAGATTAATGTGGAAACATATAGTAAAAGTTAACTAAACGTTCCAGCATGCCATTCATTGTCTGAACAATTTACATCTAGAGATCATGGCTTCCAGTCTCATATAACCTCTCCAGTGATCTATCTGCCAATTATGAATAAAGTAGCACACATGTAATACATACAATGGAGAATAAAGAACACGTCAAAAGTGTGGGTTAGGTTATTTATGCCTATTACCTTCAAATTATTATTATTATCATTATTATGATTTATATATTGCCAACAAATTCTGCAACACTTCTATCAAACTACCAGCCATAGCATCATATCTAGAGGTGATCTTCAATGTGCCTGCAAACCAATGCAACATAGCTAAGTTGAAAAACCACACAGGTATGAAGCACGGATAGGCAAAAATGGAACGGAACTGCTTAAAATCAAGGATCACAAGAACCTTTAATCATGTATAAATGCAATGAAGTGTGCATTTGGTTTTATGGAAACACTGACAGAAAATGTTTAAACATAACCTGTAGTGGAATGGCTGGAAAAAATAGACTATTAAACAAACATTATAGCATTAGGCTCATGCTAGATATCCTCCTACCATGACATCACAGCATTTGTGGAAGTTAATGTGCATGCACAATGCTCACCATGCGCGCATTCAAGCTTCCTCAAAGGGAATTTGAAGACATTTGATGTCCTCGTGCAAAGGTGAGGATGTCCAATGTCCTTTCACGGAGTCCTTTCACGGAGTAAACCTCCCTAAGAGAGCAGGAATTGCCTCTAGTGGATGTCTGGAAGAGAGCCACTAGAGATTGACTTAACACTGCAATGCAAACAATACAATTTCTCAGAACCTGAATGTTTTCACATTACAGGGTTAAGCAGACAGTCCATTGCACCCAGACCACTTCCATGAGATTAGGTTGTTTTGGTGCCTATATTGTCCCTTTAACCTTTATACAGTGACTCCTCTAAAACTATCAAAAACCATGTAAACGGTAGAGTAAGGATTAATATTGAAGAGTTCATTAGGCTAAATGTGTCATTTTTCATCTTTATTCTGGGGATGTCAATAATTAGTTCTAACCCCTATTAAAATGTATTCTTTGCTACAGTGATAAGGAGAAGACTGAAGCCTCCAGTTTTAGTCATCATCTCCCATTCCTTGTTGTCAAATTATGTACTCCACCCTCATGTCTGAGAGTAAAGTAATTCCACGGACTAAAGCTTAGACTAAACTACAATGGAAGTGGGTGAAGTTCAAAGAGGGTGGAACTTCCCTCATCCCCAAGACTTGTTGGGTTCTACCCACTAAATGCCCTAAGATGCCTTGTTCAAAACCAGCTGCATTACCAATCATTAATAAAGGGCAGAATGAACATTGCAGATATAATAACAAGACAGACACTTTTGTTTTGTTACTTACCATTAGTACTTACCATGTCAATAGATTTGATTAAGTTTTTTTGCAAGAAAACTAAGAGGGGGTTGTAGCACAAACCCCACCTGCCCCTGTGTAACCAGCCTCCACTGCCAAACTGTGTCTATTAACTTAGTTTGAAATTAAAAGTTTTCACAAGAACGAATTGAATACTTTTAATGGAACATAATAGAATGAAATGTTTCAAAATTATTAGTTTGTGCACCATATGCCTGTGTTACTGATTAGTCAACATAGCAGGTGTCTCGTTTACAGATTAATTTATACAATATGGCTAGGTTGCATAATCTCCTGCAGAGTCAGGCACCTGTTTTGCTTCCTATAGAATCCATGTATATATGTGTTGTCTTTGAAGTCAGTTTTAATGTTTTATGACCGACACATCCCAAGTTTAATTTATACCTTCACAGAGAAGATGAAAAAAAAAGTAGTGATATTTATAAAATTCCAACTTGAAAATATACATCTGCGGCAAATTAAATCAACCTGCAGTTCAAAACTAATTCAAATTAAGAAAAACAAAAATGGTTAGTGTTAATAAGAAATATGATGAAAGTTTTTCTCTGTCACGCGAAAGTTTGATAATTCAGCTCATTAACGTGCTTCTAAATAATTCCAATTCATTTCTTGATATTCATCCTAATTCTGGTTAATGACAAGAATTATATATTATATATCAATGCTGTCTTACACCAGAGAGATCAAACAGGTAATGTGGGAAATCATGTTGTTGTGAAAAGCAAGTAGAGAAATTCTTATACTTCAATTTAGTCTTGATGTTGTAACAATAGCATTAACCAGAACATGATGGTGTTGACTGTGTGGTTGAATGCTCAGTTTAGTGGAAAAGCTTATAAGACATTTTAATGAGATTTGAAGGAATTTTAAAACATGATAACCTCAACTTTTAATTTTGGATAAGCTTTTCAAGTGATTTCGTATTTTTGGATAAACGGTAAAAATTATCTGATATTATGAAACATATTTTAATATTGTAATATTTTTATATTTTTAGATATATTGATACATGTTTTATTATATGATATATTATTTATATTTTAATATATAGAAAAATATATTTTAAAAGTATATCTAAAAATATTTAACCATTTGAAAAGATTATCCAAAAATATTAAATTAAGGAAGATCAGGGAGAAAGTTACAGATCTTGTTTTAGTAAAGGTTGATAATAGTTACATTAAAAAAATGAGGGG